TTTTTTTCTGGGTATTTTTCCGTGATTCAATTTAAAGGTTCAAGTGTGAATTGTTTAGTTTTATACTGACATTGCGTTTATTAGATTACATCTATAAGTATATTTTAAGCGCACCACGGTTGAATTGATTTTACTAAGTGTAATATTTTTTTTGTGTATAGCTGACGTCACCTTTAGAAGCAATAAAAAATTTAAATTTTAAACTTTGAGGGTTGTTTCTGGTTAGGAAAACAATTTGATCCAGTTTTCACTTCGGAAGGTCGAAAGTAAAATATTCATAGCACTTAACAAATTAATAGGGAAAAAACTAGAAAAAAATGAACCTAAAACCTGTTTCTGACTGTCGATTTTGGTTTTTGGTGTAATTCAAAAATAAACATTCGTAAATCTAGAAATGTTCATCAAATATTTGTAATTTGTAGATGAGTGTTTTCTAGATATTATGAATTAATTAAAAAATATTTTGTTTTTTTTTTGAGCTGTTTACACCCTGATTGTATTGATTTTTCAACTTTTTTTTCTGTATACAGCTATATTTTTTCTAAATCAAAAACTTTAAAAATGTTATACATACTAGGTAGATGATACCAACTCATAAGTTGTTCTTACAGAAACCAAAAAAAAAAAAAACAACGAAGATATACAAAGTAATAGCTTTAGTTGCAGACAAAGAACACACAACCTTATGCATTTTATTCAAGTATTAACTGTTTTGAAAAAATCGAATATTTGAACAAAAAAATAACAATTTTCGTTATTTGATTGAGATTTAAATAATATTTATGATTTATCGCATTAATTGTAAAATCTTGTAACATTCCACTATTGATGTAATTATCATTCTACGATACACGATGGAATTTTCAAATATTTAGATTAGTTTAAGCTATTAAACGTGAAAACTATTCACGCCATTATATTAAACGTCGGCATTAACTTATAAGTAAACTGCAATAATATATGAAATAAATAATAATACTTTTATATGGTTAATTATTATAATATCTATTATATTTATAAATACGAGTATACGATGTTTTTGGTAAAAATTAGTTTAACTTGTCATAATATTAATAATAGACAATTTAATAACTGATGGAATTTTAAAAAAAAAAAAAAATTATTAAGTATATTTGAAATAGTGGCTGACCCATCGTTTTCATACATAGGTAATCGTTTTTCGTATATTCAATGGTCTATCATCAAATTCAAATTTGACACGTCCGTTGGGGGAAGTCTAATAATGCTGTTATATAATTATAGCAGAGACCAGTCTCGATGATGAGGTTCATTCGAAGCCTACTATATTATAGGCAGATCGACATGTGCATAATATATTGCAAATTGTAATGTGTGATCACAAATTCACAACGAGTCAACGGTCATAATAATATTTATTATTTGCATACGGGGATGGGAAGTATTTGCTCGTAATAAACAGTTTAACGGTCGTTTACTCGAAAATGAAAAAAATTATAATAATAATTGATTCGATCAACCCGTACGGTTTACAGTTTGCTAATAGCCGTGTATGGACATGATTATAATAATATATTATACATAATATTATACGCGTTTACAATTTAATTCCAAACGATGTACACAAATCATTTGGTTTAAACCAGTGACTTTTCATATCCGCTAAACCGTGATAATACTACGATGATATATTTATATTTGTAAATATTACGTATAACATATATGAATACGCGTTTGGTCGTGCAATTATTTCAAATATCTACAAAATTAATATTTACTGCGTCGTGACACATATTTAATTGTACTATATTATTTACACTGCGCGTTGCAGTTTGTATTGCTGCAGCTATAATGTAATTTTATTATTGTGATTCGATTTGGCAGGACGCAGCTAGGAATGCGCTTATAATAATATTATCATAGTCGCTCCTAGTCGATAAAACTGCGTCAAAATCTAATAATATAATCGTGTAACGAACAATTTATATTATTGCACGACGAACAGACTGCAAAGTCAAAATGTCGAAAGTACCCACGTAAGTATAACATACCCGATACAAATAATATAAATATAACATGTTCGATGTTGGTTCTTTACCTATGTATACATCTATTATTATAAAGCCTTCCACCCCCTCGGGACAAATCAAAACCTCTGGGTCCCGAAAACGCGGAATTCCCTCAAAAAGACCGCGATGATAACCATCATAATTTTGCACCAGGTCGCATTATGTTCGTATATAAATTATATACAATGTGTACGTTTTTAACAGTCATCGCGGTCATTGTCGTCGTCTTCGTAGTCGCCGAAACTCAAAATTTCGACGAACGACGACTGCTCTCCTGCACCCTTCGTCACACTCACACACACACACACACACACACACACACACACACACACACACACACACACACACACGCACACACACACACACACACACACACACGAATATATTCACGACTCATATTCTTGATGTACACGTACGATAATGCGTGTCGACGGGGATCGAACCGTTTCGAGTGGTGGCGAGATCAATCTTCGCGTCCTCGCACACACAAAAGAGTAAAGACCCGTCCCGAAAAATATTTGCCGCTTTTAGCGCACTTGACCGACTACCTACTTCAATATAAATGTATGAAATAATATATTGTATTATTGTTATCTTGCTGTGTGTGTGTATGTGTAGGTACTGTGTAGTCGACTGTACCATTGTCTAGTTGTGGGGAGGGAATGGTATAGGTACATATTATTATATTATGTATTATAATACATCCCGGAGAGGGATTTCGAAAATTATTCCGCAACGTAAATATCATTTATGTGCATACTAGATATAGATACTGCAAAGGTACCCGGCAGAATAATATAATATAATATATAGTTCAAAGTATGCAGGAGAGGGGTGATGGTAGCTAAGGGGGGCGAATAATAATTATTCATATAAATTTAACACATCCATTAACTAATAATAATAACTTACCCACCGTACACTGCGGTTACCAATGACTAATGACGTTCCGCTGAATATTTCTTAATATTGATTTGAGTTGCTCATTTTGATAACCTAACCCACAGTTACCAACATTTAAGACGATCGCATATAATATTTTTTTTTATTTTAGATCACTATTTCTGATTTTTAAAAACTAGGGCGAGCATTTAATTTCTAAATATCTTTGATATTTTTTTAGTTCAATAAGGGATTTCAAAATGCCAACCACTTTTGCAGTATATATTTTAAGCATTTTTTTTTTTAGTTTATTTAAAATTTTTTTCATACATATTTTATAGATTTTTCGTGTATATCTTGCATTTTATAGCTCCTATATTACTTCCGAGCCTTATTATATCCTACTTATCACATGTATAGATTATGCTTACCTGCCAGTTGTATCATAAGTATTTATAATAAAAAGGAACGGATATCGTAAATTTTAATAACATGAAAATATATTATAGACATATACATAATGACGCCTAATTTTATCCAATATGATTATAATTAAACGAGTTTACAAACGATTTGTTTAATTATGTCGAAAGTCAGGGTAAACCACTCAGCGTGCAGCCATTTATCGTATTGTACATACATGTACATTGTATACGCATGTGTATTGTATATTCATACTATAATATTATGGTAGGTATTATCACTCCTGATCGTGCAAAATGTTACCACCGGAAACTGTGGTAATAAAAGTATCCCATATTATAGTAATGGTCTAAATAGGTTTTTTTTTTTAAAAATGGCCATCGTTAACGAATATTATTAGTACCTACAATATGGGTACGAGCATATTATATTGTATCTATTTCGAGTGTGCTAAAAGTACAGTACATCCCAACATTAAGGATTACATATATAACAGCACTGTGCAAAAATGTCCATTATGGGATATTATATGATGCCGCAGGAACTTGGTATAGAGGTACACATATGGTACATAATATAGTTTGTATAACAACAATATTGGTGGTAGGTATAGCTTACGAAATAATAATTGTCGGTTTTAATTTCCAATTTATAGGCAAACGCCACGTCCGTTCCCATGCTTTCGATTTCGGTAGGAATTAATTTCTTTTTTCTCTTTATTTTGTATACACGCGACAATACAGATAATGACACAAAATGACTCGGTCGACAGTCTGCAGAAGTGTGCTCGTGAATCGTGTGAAACGCTATTCAGGGATTTGGAGCATTAAGACGTGTGTGTTTAATATAATTCTGTTTGCACGTTGTATTTTAGCACCGGATATGGTAATAACGGATATAATATAATGGCGTATAATGGTGTCGTCGTCGTTATTAGAGAATAGGTCTGTTAAACGGCCCATCGTATTATTATTATTGTTATTATTATAATGCGCACTATTATACTATCTATGTATATATAGGTTGTAGTGTCGTACCTACCTCAATTCAAGTCGCGGACGTGGTCAAGTCGTCAAGAGCACATTCATCACTCTCACGTCTTAGATACCTCGCAAATCGAATAGACACAATTGAACAAAAACTTAGGACGTTAACAACTCTACAGCAACATAATAATATATTGACTGCATTATCTATACACATATTGGTGAAACGAGCAGTCTTAAAAATACCCTTCCAACTTCCACACAAAAGGCGTAGAAATGGTCTTCGTTGTAAAGGAACACTGCAGGAGTATACAATTGTATACATTATCTATGGAGCAGACAACACATTATACGAACAAAATAGAAATGTATTAAATAGAAATTATTGGCGTCTGAAAACAATACATAATATTTACGAATACAAAATTCAAAAGGTTCTCAGTAACCTGAATTATAATATACACAAAGTATAGTAACTACCCAATAAGTTTATGTATAGTATATAAAAATATCAAATTTATAAAATTAATGTTTATGTTGTAGTATATAATATAAACTAAGTCCTTAGACTAAATTTGTACTTAAATCTAAAAAAATATACAATTGCAAAATGTTCGGTGTACAAGTATGGATAAATAAAATATATCAAAAATAGTAATAATCAATTACAAACAAGTGACAGTTCTTTTTTAAATCTAGATGGCGAAAAAAAATTGAAAATAAAATACGTCCACATATTGTGACAAAACATCAGTCTCAACATCTCATGTATATATTATTATGGTAATATATTTAGAACATTTATTATTTCGCTATATATTATACCTGTATCACTTGGCACAGTAAAATTGTTTCAAGACATTACGACCGCGAGACTGATGTTTTGACAACCCGGCTGCTATGAATGAGTTAACACAAATCACAACATATTATTATCCATTAATATACAATTATTTTATTTTCTCACACCTCTGGAGTCGCGGAGTCATTCAGTCAACTTCGGTATTTTCGAACGGAATAAAAGTTTTCGATTGGAAATATCGTGGCTTAAGTTTAAAGTAAGTTTAAATTTTCATAGTGAAAAGGCGGTGGATAGGTACCACGCAATATTGTCGTAAGAACTAAAAACACACTAACATACACACAAATTGATAGGTATCTTACACTCGCTTAAGCTTTTATACGTTTCATTAACGTCCGTGAAGCTGTATACATAATAGTTTAAGTCGGCAGACTTATCCAAATGGACATGTAAAATCAGCAGTAAATAGTTTTTTTGTGATAGAAAAAAATTCTCTTCCCCTTTATAAAAGCATATTTTACGATCTCCGACGATCTTCAAATTAGTGGTAGGCAAAAAAAATTCCAAATAACTGATACTTGGATACGAATTTATACAAATTTTAGCTATAATTTAAAATTAATAAATATCAATAACTTTACATATATTGTTGAATTATTGTCAATGCTAAAAAATACAATGTTACTGTGTGTTATTTTTGATGTTACGAGAAAAGTTTAACTATATTTTGAGAACGAATGTTGACCTAAGTTTTCTTGGTATTGTCAAATTCATTGAATATAATTAAATTTGAATCTTCGGCTATTCATGGTTTTATTTTTCTTACCCGAAACTGCGACCCAGAAGAGCGTTACAGTGAAAATACTATTTGCTTATAGACAATTTAAGGTAAACAGTTAATACGAAATATATGGTTTGAAAATTGATCCTGGAAAACACAAAAGTCGCATCCGTCGTCGTCGAAAGCATACAGCTAGATAGCACTGCAGAGCTTACATTTATAATAATAATAATACAATATTTTATGTACACATGTCAGCTTTTAGTGCCTACTCAGCGAGTATATTACTGTTGGCCTTTAGCAGCCTTCTCTTGATGTCCTTCATCTCACTCACCTTCTTGGTCAGGTACATGACGCTGATTTGGTTCTCGATGTACTTCTGCCGCTTGGCGTCCCGCGACCGTTTGGCTGCCTCGTTGTTCTTCTGCCGCTTCATGACGTACGTCTGGTCGTACTGCTGTTGCTGCTCGTGCGCCAGCCGGCGATGGTCGTCATCGTTGCTGTTGCTGTTGTTGTTGTTGTTGTTGTTGTTGTTCCCGGACCGTCTCATTTTCTCAAAGTTCCTCGGCGGCCCCAAGCTCTCCATGTACCGGTGACGGAACGACAAGAAGTCCGATTGTCTGTATATGGCAGCCACTTCCTCCGGATCCACGACGTCCATGTCGTCCATTGCGCACGCATTGATGCGGTGACGGTGCTCTCGGTCTAGTTCCCGGTGCTGTTGCTGCTGGCGGTGTAGCTGATGGAAGTGGTGAGGGTCGTCAGTAGTCGTAGTGCACGTGGTTGTCGACTCGGGCGACGGACAATCAGATCGGTCGGCGCTAATGTCTACGCCTCCATACGCCCCACCGGTCACTCTGCCGTCTAGCATCCTGTCATAGTAAGGATAACTGTTTCTGCACAAAACAAAACATGTACAATTAATTTGAGTATTATATTGTTGAACATAAACAAACGGAAAAATAAAATGATAAAAATATATTCTCGCGGTTGGGAAGATTTATGCCCCAAGGCATATAAGCCAATGCAAATATTATGATATTATGGTTAAGTGTCGTTAATGATTGTCGTACCCGAAACCGTAGGCTGACTTGGAATAGCTGCAGTCGAATCCGCCGAACGGGAAGTGGTTGGACTCGGACGAGGACGGCGACAACGTTGCCGCGTACCCTGGGCTGCCGGACAACATCAACGAGGGGTCCAACGGGAGAGCGCCGTACGCGGCCTGCAGCTGGAGCTTTTGCTTGTGGAGCTTCTGCTGCTGTTCCTGGTGGTGTTGTTGCTGTTGCTGCATTTGAAGCTGCAACTGGAGCTGCTGCTGAAGATGGAGCTGATGCTGCTGCTGGAGGTGCAGATGCTGCTGCTGATGTTGGATGTGGCTGTGATGGTGAAACTGAGTGGCCGCGGACGTCGGAAGAACAGGCAGGAACGGGTTGTATTCGGGGACAGCCGCGGACGAGATCATGTGCCGGTAAGCGGCCGCGTCGGCGTACATTCCGTGCAGTGGCGCCAAGTGTTCCGCGGCCATCATGGACGACGACGAGTCCGGCGCCCAGTAGGCCTTGCATTGCGGCTGCGGCTTCGACGGCGGCGGTGACGGCGGCGGTGACGATTTGACCTGCACCTTAGGCGACAGCACCACCACGGTGGCACGTTGAGGTTGCGGCGGCGGCTGCAACGGCAACGCTCTTCCGGCGCTCAAGTCCAGCGGCGTCGATTTACCGCCGTTCTGAGCGTTCGACTGTGGCGGCGCGTCCTCCGTCAATTTTTCCGGTCCATCGCGTCCCGCCTCTGCCTCCGAGACGCTGTTCTCTTTTTTCACGGTCAAGTCCAGCGGTACCGCTTCCGCCGCGGATTCGTCCAATTCCATTGGCACGCTCATGGCTTTCGTCGTCCAAAAGTCAAATGATGATGTTCGAGTGGTTGTTGTATGACCTGCTGCTATACAAATAAAACGGACGTTTTAATAAAAGAACCTAAAAAATGTGCCACCCGTGAGTTGGTCATAAATTATCGTCATTCGTTATTTATTTATTTACGAATTATACGGACTTGAGCCCCTTTCACAAAGTAATGGTAACTTAAGTACAGTGAAAAAAAAAATAAATAAATAAAATATTACAAACAATACAATGTATGAATAATCGTATAACTATTCATTTTCAAAGAAGACTCTTAAAATATGCTATCTGCATTTGCACGAGACATTAACCTCCTATTTGATTCATTAAACAGTTATCAAATAATACGCTTCAGAATAGTGAAATCCACCGTCAGTGGTCATGCACATATAGCATGTATATTAATATTGACCATCCAGTTCATGACTATAATACAATTCAAAAGAATATAATTTGTAAAATGTGAAAACTCGATAACTATACACCGCACGCATATATCTAACGTATTTTTCAAATCGATTTCAATACAACAACGAAAAGACTTTTTTGATTTATATACATGATCGCACTCCTGTATTGAACTGGGTGGTCGATTTTAAGTTATTAAATGCCTAAATAAATATTTTATATTCAATTTTTTCGTAGACATATATGAAGTCGATCGTCTGCAGCGGCCATGTGGCACGGACGAAATGTGTTAATATTTACGCACCACCGACGATTTGACAAAAATACTACGACCTTGGGGCAACCACGGTCGTGTGCGGCTTTTCGGCGAATAATCAATTCCGATTGGAGAGTGAACCCTTTGAGAGAGGGGGCGTGTGACCAATGGGACGACGGTCATCGCGGTCTGTGTGTGGTCCTCTACTTGTGTGTCAATAACTCCCTGACGGACGGCCTGAGTACGCGTCGCCGCCGCGGATTACAGCCGTCGACCTCGATTTCGACATATATTTTTGGTTTTTTTCTGGGTCACCTATTTTGCCAAAATTCAAACGTGATTCGATCCTATTTGTTTCGAATCTATACCTTAATTATTTTAAAGGTTATAACACTACAACTATATTATACACTACGTTTAGTATATAAAGTAGCTTTCATATTTATTCGAAAACTAGCGAAATATGAAAACTTGATTTTTTTCAATAGGCATGACAATATGCAAATTGATCAACGCGTCGTTCATTATAATTATATGATGAACTTTTTTTTTATGAGCGAGGAGCCGCAAGCTCATCATTTCGCATAGAGTAGCTGATTATTACAATACAACTACATATTATTATCAATTACAATTACATTACTTATTTTATGACAATAATAAACTATGCTAATAATAAGTGTTTTAACAAAAAAAATGTAATTATTGTTTATGATAATTTTGTAATACATAGTAAATATTTCAGTATTAATAAACATAATATTAATGTAGGTACCTATAGGTATTTAAAATATGATCGCTACTGGGACAACAAATTTTTTTTAACATTTTAAATAATCCCTTGTAATAAACGAGGTTTGGTTGTAGTGCAAAACATATCAGATAATCTAGTTATCGTCAGACAACTATGATGGAAACTAAAAAATTGTTAATTATAAAATGTAAATTCAAAAGCAAAAGTTTATGACGCGTGTGTTGTTCCTTTGTAATAAATTTGTGTGGTCTGGGGTTGTGGGTGGTGGGGTGGCCGGGTAGTAGGCAAAGGGACGAATAATTCCGGGATCCCCTTGCAAATACGCCACTGACTGACGTTATGCGGACTGGAATTTAATCTGATGCAAAGTTAATTCTCGTGGACGAAAAATAAATAGAAAAAACCAGACAGAAATGTCGAACGATAAAAAAACTAGGTGGCTACCTACTATAAAGCGTTACAGGAAAATACGACCACGTGGGCTCGAGTTCACCGCGCGTTTACTATATACCAATATTAGACTGTTTATAAATGTATACATTTACCCACCACGTCGATATTGTCTAGAGCAATAATAATTGTGTTTAATAAATAATAATTCGGCTCCTATATTTATAGCAGGTTAGTATGTATTTGCAGTTTGCACACGTATATTATGCTGCACTACTCTGGTCGATCGGTGCTAAATACGTAATATTGAGTTTACTCCAGAAAATCTGATTACAATTTTATGTAAGTGTAGGTACCTACAACTACCCTGCGTCTGTAAAATAATATTGTACAAGGGTTTCGGTATATATACAACGACGACAAAACGAGTGTAATGTCCCGGTATCGTGGTACTCTACGTTTTTACCGAAATGTCCTCTACAAATTATGGTGTTATGACGTTATGTTCCTAATCACATTAAATATTTTTGTGCTTGCTACGATGTATATAAATGTATAATATATTAATATGTTATAGTATATGCTTTTCTTTAGGTCTCCGACAGCTGTCGACAGCATTTATTTCTATTGTAACTATACCATACTAACTAGTGGCGTAACTGAGAAAAAACTGAAGAGAGCAAAATAATTTATTAACATTTATTGCTATATATTTACTAAAATCATAACCATTACCTACGGCACATATTACTAGTTCTTAAGAAAGGTGCTACAACTTGTTTGAAAAAATATTGTGATAATAATCTAAGAAATAACATAGATTTTGTTATTATTTTCAACTCTGATAATGAGATAATGTTGACAATTGTCGTCTGCAATATTATTATATCACAAGAGAAACGTGAAATAAAATAATTACTTTTATGCGATAGGTAATTTGAAGAAACAATATTTTTATCTTATAAAATATGTTGGTATATAGATATTTAAATGTATTACATTTTTTTCTTAATTTAGAAGCTTAAATTAAAATTTAAAAAAAAAATATTTTTTTTTGTTTTACACGTTTGCGTTCAGTTAATGCAAGAGCAGTAATTTCAAAATTTTCCAATTCTGATATAATGGGTCACTATTGCTACAGCAGTAATTTACAAAACCGACGAAATCGGGCATTACTCCTTATTCAGTACTATTTTTAATGATATTAGACCAATCTGGAGATAACACTGACCCATTGGCCATTACGTATACTCATACATTTGGGCACGTAATAATATCACACAATAATATTATTCCAAACAGAATGAAATAGCACTATAATAGCAGTAATAAAATATTGATTTCCTGAGGTCGATACATGAATAATGAAAAAAGTGAGGTGTCCATGAACGTGTTAAAGATTTCGATTGTTGGCGAGAGGCTAATTGATACGTTTGCAAAAGGTAAAATTATTTCTTCTCAATAATTATGCCACTGCTAGGTAGTATTTATATATTTTTTGTAAATATATTGGTCCAAAAGTGTGTTAGAAATAACATGCAGCCAGGAAACTGCACCCTGCTGTACGCGGTACCGTCGCACGACGATTAAAAACGACACCTAATTACCCCGCATATAATCGAATTTAATTATTAAATATTAGCCATGACTCGTGAATCTGCACGTGCCATACATCGATAAAAACTGACATGTTATGTTATTACTCAATGTATACAACAAGTAATGGTTTTTTTAAACGAACAGTTGAGTGTAGATCAGTTATTTGTTAGTGCAATAAACATAATATTATTATCTTCATTTGTAAATAGTATTATTATAACAATGAGTAATGACTAAATTTTTTGAAATAATATTTTGACCAAAGGTCAATATTGAAACAGTGTGATAACAATACGTGCTCGAATATAGGTACCAATAATACATTTCGTCAATAACCACAGTACCTATCTGAGGACTAGGACGGCATGGCTGCTGCTAGGTCACACGAGAGCATATAGAACAAAGGAATCGATATAAGTTGCCATTTTCACTCGAGTGGCTAAAACACAAATCATATTATAATATAATATGTATGCGTATAAGATCGAATAACCACTGTGTTCGATCGGGATGGAAAAATAACAACTTAGGGTCGTCGTCACTGCAGTTGGATCGAACTCGCAGCAAATAAATAATTTACATATTATACTTTCGGCTATAGGCTATAGGCCTATGTATATGTGTGCCATCGTCCCTATATACAGGGTGGATAATCAAGTATGATTGCCTACTTTTCTTCATCAATAAATTATGATTTTTGAAATGTTTCAATACAGCGCTCAAACACCGTCTTTTAAAATGCATTAAAAATATATAACTATTAAGATGACGTGTCAAGCGGAGATGAAAATTTCTGTTTTTCAAATAAAAACTCCGTTCCTGACATAAAATAATTAGCAGATATTAGATAATTATCTGGAAATTTAGACATATCAAAATCAAAATTCGAACCAGTATAGTTTGTGAATCATTTATTAATGATGATAGGTTTATATGATAATGGGTTTGGAAGATATGGAGGCTGTAATAATGATTTTAACATTTTAGTAACTGATATAAGTCTATCAACATAAAAAAATTGTAAAAATGATCCAAGTATAATATATACTAGATGATCCTTTATTACATCTATTTTATGTTTTTACCTATATAAACTATTGTTAATGACTTTATTATTCTTATTATAAACATTCTAATAACCCAGAAAACTACTCGTTCGATATTTGAATAAGGTCTATCAACATTTTCAAAACAATAATCTTTTGAATAATTTACAGTAAAAATAAGGGTTCCTATTTGAAGGACAGAAATTTGTATCGTCACACACTCTTGAATAACGATTTTCTCAAACATTTTTTTAGTATGATCTTCAGAGAATTTAAAAATTCAAAAAATCAGAATTCTTACATATTATCAATTATTAAAGAAAAATGGGGGTGAGCGTGATTGAAGAATCACCCTGTACTCAACATACTATGTTTATACATATAAGCACACATATATCGACGACCGTCGCGTGGTATACTGCAATCCGGATATAACGTGATGGGCAATTTGTTTTTATTTCCCAAAAGATTTATGAGGCGACGTTTACGATATATTTAACCGCGATCGGGACGACAGAATCCGACTTTAAATCTTTTTTTTCAACCCGGAAACGGTCACAAATGTTTAATACATAATAGCAAGTTTAAATAACGCGTATTATAATATGCGTATGTCATGTGAATGATACGTCACTCTCATCCAAGTCGGTTGTTTTAGATTTTGTTTATTTTATGTATATGTCTACGTGCTAAGTCCAAACATAATATTTTTAATTTCCCCCACCCATTGCCATTTTTTGCCTCCTAAATCAAAGTTTTTATTTTAAATACACCTTCACCCACCAATTTTATAAATTATTGAACATCAAAGTTAGATAATATAGTCATACAGGTGCTACCAAAGATGTCATCGTAGTTTATTTTAATTTCGAATATCCATAATGTTATAGATTTTGTGAGGAGCGATAAATGTACCATGATGTGCTTTTTTTTTTTTATATATCTGTCATCACCTTTTTGGACAGTAGAAATATTTCGATTTTCAACTTTAAAAGTTTTGTTTTTGGTAGGAAATTAAATTTAGTTGGTAATTTTACGGTTAAAAGTAAAAAAAAAGGCTAGTACTTTTCAAAATAACCGGGAAAACAAATTACGGAACATGGGGAATTTTTGAGCGAGGTATTCGACAAAGTCGATTTTGACTGTTTTGGTGTAAGTCAATAGAACAGTGTTTCCCAAAGGGTGTGCCGCGGCACAACAGTGTGCCGTGAAATTTGAAAGGTGTGCCGCGACAACTTGAACTTTTTTTTATAAAAAAAACATAAAATGATTTTTTTTTTAAATATTAAAATATATAAAACTAATAATTAATACAAAAACGAACGTCGCAAAGCTTCAATACAATTTGGGCTGGCCGTTGTGTTTTTTGAACGTAACTGTTTCGTATGACCGAACGAATTATTACTTAATATTGAAAGGCCAAAAATGTATAGTACACGGTACAATTCTATGATATATATATACAAGTACAGCTATCAAGAGACAATAATATTATTACCTATTAACGATAATAATATCCGACACCATTACCTATATACGTATTATTCGATAAGTAGATAATATTTATTCAAAGTGTGCCGTGACTTATAATAACTAATAATAATGTGCCGCGATGGGAAAAAGTTTGGGAACCGCTGCAATAGAACTTACTTTTAACAAATGTTTATATTAGCGTTTTCTATACAAAAAGTCATTTGCATAATATTTTGACTTTTTTTTTTAAACTATAGGTTAGACATTTGTTATTTGTCGTTTATAATTATTTGTTATTCTATAAATCCCGATAAAAAGTGTTCAGTTTCAAAAAAGTTAAAATTTAATTCAAGGTTCCCCATATAAGTTGTTCAAAAAATATCAAAAGTACATAATCACAAAGTTATTTTTATAAGCTTTTAAAATTAAAATGTTTTGTAATGTTTTTTCATCAAACTATTTTGTTATAATTCAAAAACGAATAACCACCGATACTTGTTATGTTTACAAATGTTTATACTAGCAATTTGTAAAGATTGTAATATTTTCAAAAGATTAGATTTTTTTAAAACTATTATTATAGTCGTAATTTGACATTTTGGATTTCTTAAAGTTTTTTTTATCTATATAATTTTAAAAAATTTGCTACTTCAATAAGCATGGACATTTAATAAAATACCCTTCACAAGTTGTTATTATTGCGAACTGAAAATCTAAAATATATATAAACACTATAGTTTCTTATAGTCATTGTTATCGGTCTTGGGTGATCGGTAGCAAGTTAAGAGATAAGAGCACGAGCAGGTCGATCCGGGCTTCTGAGCTGTGTCGTTATATTATTAAATTTAGTCTACTGACAATCGTGACTGATGCGTTGTCAATCACCAAAACTCAAAAATGTGACAAATGTGACCAATAAAATATTAAATAAATAAATAAAACACAAAATAAAAAAGGCATACAACCAATTATTATTGTTTTTTTTTTTTTTTGGTGTTTTAAAAAAGGATGATTTATTCAAATTACTCGACGCTCGATTAAAAATTATCGCCATACGGCCCGAACAGTCATTCAAAGTTAAAATTTGGACAACATTTGATATTTAAACGGAGAGTATCCATGTTAGTTTTTACTTATTTTGTTATATTTCAAAAATAACTTATAACATTTAACATATATATTATTATATTTTACACGCGCGCAATGACATTTTAAAAAGCAACGGTATCGACAAAAATGAAAACAATCTACATAGCTTATTACTGACGGTAAAATTACTTTAATACAGCAATATAAATATGCCATAAAATGTACTTGGTAATATGAGCTGATAATCGTATGCAATGATTTATCATTGAATTCATATCTAACACAAATAGTAAAGTGATTTACCTACTTCCCGCTTAACTATAATTCATTTATAATTTATCAACTTGACGTTTGAGGATAATATGTGAATAGTTAAATTTTAAATAGAAACAATATCATTCACAGATCTTTTAACATCAACATCGTCCTACAAGGAAATGTCAGTGAAAATAATATAATATAATAGTACTGGTGCAGAAATGTCTAAAATATAATTACAACATTTGGAGGGGAAATATTTTGTTGCTAGTATTATACACATTTCAAAATATATAGTTATAAGGTAGGTACAATAAAATATAAATAAATAATATTATAATGATTCATATTATACGAAAAAATATTATTTTTCAATTCACTGGAAATAATTGTTCTCCAACTTCGGACTATAATTATATATGCCTATAATACCAACACAGCTATGTTCGACGTTCAAGTCTCCGCATCATCCCGTCGCAATATAAATTAGTCAAATTAGTTATTCAAAAGTACGTGGTTTTATTCAACTACAGCCAATAAAAAATGACTCAGAATGTATAGATTCTACGGTATAACATAATGCTTTATACATAAGTATAACGTACAATTTTGTTGTTGAAAAACGCGGATTTTAAGTTAGTGTTGTTGCGGTGCGGTGTGGTTGTTTATAATATCAATAATATTACTATACCTATAGCAGTTTAATATAATTCCGTGGTAGGATATTCATAAAAGGTTTAAACTTAAATACTCAATAGAAAAAAAATAAATATTCGTAACAATATTTCGGGTTGCATTTAAATGTTTATTTGTACTTATAAATAATAACTAGGGTAAACATTTTTTTCCTGTTTTTACTAAAATATAATTTGTCTAGATACGACACCCTCCAAAAACACTGTAAATTCAGTGTTTAGCAAAACAATATAATATGATTAACTGGTGAATAAAATGTATAAGGATAAATATTATCTATAATTTAAAATTAACAATAAGTACCTAGCTAAAAATATACATTACAATAAAGCTAAACAAAATTAATCATGAACTATACGAATGATTTGGTAATCGTAGAGTATGATTAACTTCACTACCTACCTACTTTTTCTCGTAGTTTAATTGTACCTATTTATGTTTATATTAATAGTATTAATTTTAGTACCTACATCATCTTAATGTTGATGTATATATTCCATATTGACAGATTTAACTAATGTAATTTATTAATTTTAAATTATAAATATACTTATTACATAAATAATTTTCATAAATATTTTTATTTGCCCATCACTGATGAAACTACAGTGCTCGACGATTTATAGATAGTGAACGCTATAATATTATTATAATGTTTATCTCGCACGAGCTTTATAATATAACATAAATCCTTACTAATATTGTGATTTGAACGGCCGTTTTCGAGTGAACTTTTATACTTACGGCTTAGAAGCACGTCATTTTAATTAATTAAATACTTTATAATATGTAATATTATCCATATAGATCGGATCGGAGGAAATCGAGGAGCCGTGAAACCGCGGTATGAATAGTTTAATAATAATTATAATACTATACATTAAATTATATTAAAAATACGTAAAATAAAAACAGCGAGATGGTTTGAGAGTAGATTAAAAAAAAATGTATAATGTATATATACTTTAAGTCTTACCGGTTGAAGCGAAGTCGGCTCCGTCGAGTATAATATTATAATATAGTTGACGCAGTTGTCTCGTTGATCGTTGCCCGAGAATAGTGGGTTGCAGGATGGGTGGCCGAAGATCGCGCACTGTCCGGTCGAATTGTCGAACCGATCGTCACAGGACACTGGAGTAGGTACAACTGGTGCAGCGTGTACCACCGATATGCCTCCGATAATGTCGATCACGGACAGACACGTGGGGTAGTGCGGAGTGTTGGTGGAAGGGACGGCGGTGGCGTTGCCAGCGGCGAACTGTAGGAGTGGTGGTCATTGGTCGCGTCGGTGGAGATCTCTGTATTATGCCATTATATGAGACGTATAATAATACATATTATATGAATACACATCTAGGTAAGCGAAACGTGTTTCGAAATCCCGACCACCCCCTACCACGTCCCAGAACAAACCCCGACCCCGAACCATCCTCCGGGATAGACGACGGGTCTGGTCGTAGCAGGAGTGACGGAGACGCATTATATTAAATCCATACAAACAATATAATATGCTAGGTAGGTACATAATATGCCGTGTACTTGGGTTTTATAATATATATGTAGGTAGGTAGAATCCACTATTATATACCTTTCGTATGTACACGCTTAGACCCGTGTACATAGACAATGGGGGTTTTTTTTTTGTGATACGGGCCTGGCCGGACACCGCACAGGACTTCCAGCGATGGCAAACAATGGTGATTGGCGAGTGTCCATCGTCGTTCGGAAATTTTCGTATGGGAAATCGGTTCGTCGAAAAATCCGTTTTGACCTGAAAAGTCTCATCTCGCTTTTTCCCACCAGATGCGGCGCAGACACCATATTATTATTATTTTAGTGTTCCTATACATTATTGTTATATTGTTATCAAAGTATTGTCAGTTTTCATATAATAATAATATTGTGTTATTTACTGGAGATATACGACCCGTCGCACGTCTATTGGGACACGACAACGAGGTGCGATAAAAAGAATTTTGAGAAATCGAAATAAGAGCCCGTGAGATGGTGCTCGAATAACATTTAAACGTACACACACGTACACATAGTATATAGATAGGTACCTAAAAGTTATGACCAAAGGGTTCGTTTTGGACCAACATAATATTATGTGTAGGTACACGATAAATATGGACGATAATGTGGACGCATTAATTGCCTAACTCTGAGAAAACTTTTCCGGGGTTTCGGTTCGCTCACGACGACTATAATTTATTTTTTTTTTTATTTGGTTAGCACCGCGCGGTCTGTAAAATTAAATTTTTGTTTAGCAACTTAAGTTCGTGGTGGTCGTATAATAGTCACAATAGCTGGTGTACACGGATCACTTTGCTTTAACGTTAGATGATTATGTTAAAATAAATATTATAATACGACGTAAGTAAGCACATTATTTATTGTCTCGTTTTCTTATCGATTTTCAAGCCAGTGTAAAATATTATGTCTTTGCGTGATCGATTATTTTGGTTCTATTACTACTGTAATACTACGATAAAATTATTGCTATCTAATAAAAATATAATACAATCAAACGATCATTTGGTATCGATAACAATGAAGAGATTTTTAAAAAAAAAACCGTTTCTTTATTATTGCCCATCATTACAAGTGTACCTACATCATGCGGTAGGTGTACAGGTGGTACGTTCGATTATCTCCGAATCGTCGTATTTGCGGTGTGATCGAAATTCAGTTTACTTTTTTCGCATTATTATTATACGATTTCAATAAAACGCTTCTGCATGTTTGCATTTAGACAAACTCGGCAGACTATAATCGCGGTGGGTATATTGGACGTGAACCCACGTGGTCATTAAAGTCATACTTTTATACGAATAGACAAAAATAAACGAGAGTGAGCAGAGATAATTTATTACAAATTATGCAGTTCGTTTTTATCCGTTCATGTGTAATTTATGTCACTATTGACATAGGTATTTCAATTATTAACAAGTCACCTGTGTACTGCTTTTGTAAACATTATGATTCGTATTATATTAGGTTTATAATATTATACTGTAAAAGACAAATAAAATAATCAGAGTTTATGTTTTATTATTTTTCATGGAAAATCTGTTTTTAATAAACATTTTACAATTTTTTATTCTCCGGTAAAATATGAAAATACATAAAAAAAATTGTTTGTTTTTGGAAATAATAATATTAATAGTAAACAAATACAAATCCATACAGTTCATGACATATTATGATAAAGGTTAAAACACTATGTCAATGTTAAAAAAAAAAATGTTCTACGTACCGAAATTATACATAATATACAATTAAAAAATTGGTACGAGATGGTACATTGTGTAACGCATTAAAATAATGAACAACAAAATAAATATTATAGTCATAATAATTATGGAATGGAAAAATTAACAACGTTAGCATTAAAAGAAAAAAAACCAATTAATTTTAATTTTTAATTTTATTAATATTTCTAAGTCTATATTATCATATTATATATTATTATTACTATAGTATAATATATATCGTTAATTTTTTTTCATGTGAAATCGAACTATTTCCGTATGGTTTTAAGTGCACTGCGAAAATATTAAATATTTTGATTAATTGACATGCCATTTACTTAATGTGGGATAAAAACTAGATATATTTTTTTTAAATTTTAAAAAAACAATCTTATTTACGTTTTTTACAAATCATTTTATATAATAATATATTATTATGTATCAGGTGTATATTCGAAAAACGAACAGACCGAATTATTTTCTAAAATTTGACTAGATTTAATGCTACAATTTTACAATAATAATGATATTGATAAAAAAAAAACAAATAAAAACAATAATAATAAAAATAAAAACATGTAGAGATACTATAAGATAATTCTCGGCGGGTACGACTAATACACCTGTCGTTCAAGCGCATGCGCGACGTACCCGAACCGACGGTACCCGCAAACCTGGATGCCCTAAATTTTAATGTAGTTATTATTATATTTGGTCTTGGAAATCCAACGAACGGATTGAGCGCATAAATCGATAACATACATTATAATAATATACTGTTGGACGTATCGAACGATAGTACCTACACACAATAATATAACGGCCATGTAATTTCGTGATCTGACACACGTACGAACATCATTATATTATACTGATATTATTATAATATATAATATCTTGCTATTCAACCTAATACATAACCTATACAAATGTTATATTGTAATTAAAACGATTTTTTGGCTCCGACTTACACGTTAATAATTATAAAAAAAAAAAAACAAACAAATACAAACAAATTTGAGTCTTGTCCTACCTACCTATAATAATAATAATTCTATTATGTACAAAAAAATTTTTAAAAAAAAAACCAATCTGATTTATTTTCTTCTTCCGTTTTCCGGTTCTCGATTTCACGCCGACGGAACGACGCAGTGGACACTCGTCGCATCGACACCTAGTCGGGACCCGCGGCCCCGACCGACGTTCGACGTCATGGCGAGAACACCCGGAGGCTGCGCAACAGCTTGGCCAGAACGTTGGCCAGCCCCTCGGCGTGCCTGGTGAGCGTTTCCGTGCACACGTCCGTGTCCACCAGCAGGCCGTGGAAAGTGCGCAGAACGTCGGCCACCTTGAGTATGAGGTTCCGGGTCTGCAGCGGCGACGAGGTGTGCCTGGTCATGTTGCCGCTGAGCACGGTCATCCTGCGCAGTTGCGTGACGCACTGCGACAGGTTCGCCTGGAACTCGGCACTCTTCGGGTTCATGTAGCACCGGATCAGGATCTTCGAGGACGTCACCAGCTGCCTGGCTTCTTGGCACAGTATGTCCTTGGCTTCCTGTATTTGGGCCGCGCGCAAAAAAGAAATTAATTCCATGCCATATGTGATACAAGTTTGTGCCGGGGAAGAGATCCCAGATCCCGACCGCGCCCTAACCCTCGCCCACCCGTCCGCTTCTAACTTTGCCGATTGCGTGTAAAAGGTATAGGTATATATATATATTACCTACCCTATAAGTCTTATGCCTCGCCACCTAACCTGCAGCTAATACAGTAATACACCTGTCCATTGCTCGAGAGCTTTCCGCGATAAATGTCTTTTGGCGAACGTCCACAAACGCTTTTAGATATCCAGAGACACATATAATATACACTATTTATACCCTACCACGGTCTATATAACATTTTGTAGGTGCTGTACCCCTAGTTTATTGTATATATTGTATACCGACTGAAATTTAATCTATATTTTATCGTGTTATTGTGATGGATCACTTCGTGTGCCTGCAGTATAGCGTATAGCTACGGGTAATACTACTATAAAAAACGGAGATTTGTTCGATAAGTTGTAACGTTTTCACTTAAAGTCTTAAAACGTGAACTGTGTACCTAGATATTTAATTAGTTAACAATTGCTCGTCGATTTCCAATGGAGTTATAGGGACAATTGGACAAAATCATACTATACAAGTTATTATTATAAATCGAAAACAGTAGGTATCGTTACGCCGTTTCGGCAGGTAACTACACCGAGACTTGCCGAAATAAAAGACAAACACTGTGTCAACTCGACTAAAATCTGATTAAATTAATATTCGTCGAGTTCATATTTCACACGAAAACAAAAGTGCCCGAATCCTATAATCCCGTAACTCTGGGTCATAATTATAACTTTTTCGTTCATTAATGACGCCAATCATACACCATATTTATAATAGTACCCCCCTACATCGGATATGGTGGACTGATTTTACAACAAATAGAGACTTTATTATTACATTAAAAGTTTCGCGACGTGCAGGCTTAATAATTGTCTAGAAAATGTAAAAATTACTAGTGAGTCACGAGCATGAACTTTCGAGCAGAATAACCTGTAATAATCATGTTATCAAGCTGCAATAGGTGTGTATACGCAAAGTGATGATGGGTGACACACCCACTCACACAATTACATGTAAATATGCAATATGAATAATGCAATATGTTTAGGTACTACACCCGCATATAGCTATATTATACACGGCTTACTATTTACAAATCGAATATCTACCTAATAGAAATATTAACATTCAGCTCGAAATACAAATTATTGAAAACCAAAATCGACACATTTGGCTCTAGATACAAAATTAGATTTACAAAATTTTTTTCTGTGAACAACTTTTCGACTAGAAATCTTGTTCCAATCAGTACCTACATGGGTGCAGTATACGCCCATTTTCAATAGAACATGTTACTTAATTAGTGGTTTTTAGAGGTAGTTTTTCGATATTATCAATAAA